CCCCACCCCCCCTGAGATGATAGAATAAATAAATATCTAATTAGATTGCGTTTTATTCAGCTTTGTAGGTCGTAATAGAACTAAAATGAAGACACTGTAGTCGGCTTGATCCGTATTCTCATACAATACAGTAATTTCGTCCTTTAAACACAAAAATATGTTTTTTAATCGTGAACGCCCTGTGTGATTACGAATACATGTAAACTATTCAACAAAACATTGATCGAAGAAACCTAGATTACAAAACATTTCGTGTGTTTGTAGTATTTTGTCGTTTATTTGTTCAGTAATAGAGTCGCTGAAGGGTATCACTTGATCACCTGTCTCCGACTACCTGTAGTACAACTGGTCCTTTTGTTTGTTCGCTCTTCCCCCGTATTGACACAAGTGTGTATCGATTTCGGAAATGGAGAAAAAAATCCAAATGATTTCTCTTCAAATTCTGCGTTTCGACCAGAGTATGCCATGCTGAAAGAAAGACAATGAGACGATGTCTTAGATTGTTTGGGACCAACGTACTCCACTAGATTGGTCATATTATTTAGCTGTTTATTTCTAGCTGTAAATTTGAAAACAGTTAATGCATTTGTTTGTTTGCTTAACCATGGTATGTAATTTTAGAGTAATTTACAAATCTACATGTACTAATAATACCTACTACTAATACTGACTTCATATATTGAAACAATGAAAATGATCCAACAAGTTTGTAGTTTACCCCAAGATTTTGTTTTGTTTGTAAAGTTAAACAGATAATTCTTACGCATTTGATATTTAAAAGTCACGTTATAGATCCTGATAGATACTTAAATCAATATCCAGGTTCATAAATCAGCTGAAACATGTAACTACCAGGAGATGTTGATACAAGGACTAAAGAAAGGTACACTAACTACGTTGAAATCAAATTCGTCACGTTCGGATGGTGGTTGTGGCCGACATAATTGTCCTCAAAACTTATGTCGGGCATTATAACAATTTTATAACGTTTGCTTAATAAAAAGGGTAACAAGTAAATAAATCACCAGGATAAAAAGATCGACAGCTTTATTTATCTTCACTTTATTATCTCATGGCGAAAAATAGTGGATGTCATGATTTGTTGAGAGCAAAAATCGGGATAGAAATAATAGGCTTGTTTATGTTATGACGCTTGTGATTTTGTTGTCACTATCCGAGTTCTTGACGTAAGGACGTGACATTACTTGGATTTGTCAGATAGATATTAACTAAGCGGATATTGTCGATGCAGTAGGAGACTCTTATCCTTCCGGGGCACATGGTCTCAATCGCCGTGTACTTTTAAGGCTCTCCATGTAATGTTTTCCTTTGTTCAGATTTCGCTTTAGCTTTATCGATTTTGCGTTCGTACTATGGGTTGTAAACAATTTGGTATTATCTTGTTTGTTGGATAAATAGGATTAGATATAATCCATATAAGGTTGGACACGTGTCATAAGCTTGCTTACAAGGTACAGTGATATACTGTCATTGTTTAAATATTTAAAAAATAAGTATTTCAATAATGTTATAAAGAGATTAGGTTATACGTAAGAGTCTCTCGCCTTATTTGTTGATAAGCATTTACAAGATTATATCTTTTTTCCACTTCACATGATAAGTGGTCCGTAGGTTATGTTATCAATTCAAATGGAAATAATGTCGTACCAGGCAAATTACCAAGCTGTTTTTGAAGAAAAAATGTGCATTCATGAATCAAGCAATTCAGACTCCAACTTTTCGTTCAGCAGAGTCCCTTATTTTTTTTCCCTACCAGGTACAATTCTATTAAATACTAGTCTCCATAGGGCTGTATAGATTTTTTTTTAGCAATAACAAACTTTTCAAAATTTCCATAACGCTGACCATTACGCCGTCATAGTCTCAAAAAAATAGGTTTTGATGTTGGTATATTGCGGATATTTCCTGAACGTTTTCGTGAGTTCGAGGCCCTGATAGGATACGATTCAGTAAATTGTGTAAATTTAGACGCTGCTATGTTTATATAGGCTATGTTACCGTAATTTAGGCCATGAGTTTATAGCTCTGTTCCATACAATTACGTACAAGAGCATATCTAGTTGTTCCCGAAATTTAGATGCAGAAGTTGTTTTTTTAGGTAATCTGTGGCTTCCAGTGCTGACCTCATAATGTATACGTACATTGATCCGAAGGTTTAATATATGACCTGTAATTATTGCAGTGTTTGTAATATACAATATTTGTGCTATTCATATCCTTGTATATAACTCTATATTGCAATAAGTTAATCATATCATCAATATACGATTTGTCACTTTGATCAGATCGAGATTATCGGGCTGTTGACCATTGTCCACACAGTGTTATTACCTTTCTGCTTATTTATACGGTAGAATAAATATAGGAAAAGTTATTTTTTCTCTCGAGGCGAAACTGTTGTTAAGCTAGAACATGGGTTATTATGTTTATACCATTTTCAAAGAACATTTACTGAATTGACAGAGGTTGTTCTCCTGCATAGAGATTCTGACGTCGCAATTATAATGCGATAATTATTTGTTGTGGTTATTACGACTGTTGCATCAGTTTACTATTAGAAATAAAGAAAAAAATGTTTCGCAATAGAACATTTCAAAAATTTACCATATAATTTATGGTTTGACCAATGTAAATGAAGTGCTATTCTTTTCGTTCTAGGTTATTTAAGAAATAATCAACGTATGTGCAGGTATGATGGTAGAATATATAATGAACGAAGTCCACATTTTCAAATCCCAAATTACATATTTTACTATAATAGATAAACACATGTTGTTTATATCTATTCTACCAAGTAAAATATAACGAAATCTTTTTGCGTGTCTACCTTAGTGCCCATACACCTTTGCGATACGCAAGATGACCAAGATAATCTAATTATTTAAATAAGGTTGATCTTTTGCGCTCGCTAACATTTATCAGTTGAGGGCCATATGTCTTCATCATTTCTGACCCTGTTAACCTGGATATATTTTGGAAGGACTTTTTTCAATTTCAGCCGCCATTCGGATGACAAACAATTAACACTGACGTCATGATTTATGCCAGATGTTCATAAGCGCTTGACAAGTTTTAAGTAGATTTAGAGGTTAAATGGATTTTTGACCGCTAGCAAATCTACAAATACATACAAAATGAAATGCGGGTACCCTCATTCGACAAATGTAATAAGTCCCGCGACTTGCTTGTTTAGGTTTGGGGAGAGCGTTGGTCTGTTGGAAAATAATATACGCACGCGCATTGCCTAGCGTCCAACAATCCATGACTATTAACCAATGCAAAGTGTCGTTATATTGCAAACGTTGTAGAATTTGGAATTCACTTTGCTAACAGCCTTTTTTTCAGGAAAGAGAAACAGATCTTTTTAAAAAAAAAAGTTTTGGTTGGTTAACATGTTTTACTAACTTGACTTATTTGATATTCAAACCTTGTAAATACACGAAATTTACCAAGTGTCTTTCACGATTTAAAACTAAGCTTTGAGACTAGATGAAACATAAAAACCAACCATTATGAGTTACAACCGCACTTTACATATTATGTGAGAAGAGCAATATTTTACGTAACGTTTTATTTTCACAAAGGGAAGAAATCTACGCAAACAATTACTTCGCAATACAACGGCATTCGTAAGGTTATACATTTTTTTGCATTGTGACGTCAAGTTTCACCCAATGAAGACGCTTCCAGCCTTTCTACTTCATGTATATGAGGCAGATATGCTCATCACTCCAGTTACTGGTATGTTATTTCTATGGTATATTAAGTAATCTATACTTTCAAATATTCTAGGCTTTATTCAACATATTATAGCTAAAGAGAAGAATATGTCAGTTTGGTTTTATTTTATTTAAAGTCCTATTAGCAGCTAAGGTCATTTAAGGACGTGCCACCGCGTGTTGAATGTATGCGTGCATGTGTGCTGGAGACATGGTAAGTTGGTGTAATTGCCTACTTGTGATAGCGCGGATCTGTGATGCCGACTTTATATAGTGCGATCTCGCTGAAGGCACCCAGCACAGCATTCCACACGGTCACATTATACTGATAACGGGTGAACCAGTTATTGCCATTCCCCTAAATGCTGAACGGTAAGCAGGGAATACCAACTACCATTTCAAGTACTTTGGTATTTCCAGGTCTGGGGACAGAACCCATGGCCTTCCTCACCTGGGGGAACGCTCAACATTATAGCCAAAAG